AACAATTTTGTCAAATGGCTGATGTAGTTGCCTGCTTAGATATATTGCATCAAATTGTGCTCTGTAGTCACCGTAGTTCCCTGCCAAGTGATATAGCTGTGGTTGTCTATGTAGCCTTGACTGGATGCTATAATGTACATTGTAGCTACCCAATGTATAATTGTAGTTCTATGTTGTCAGTGAGCTTTTCACAGGTACTGTCCCATTGTGTATGGAGGCGACTGCTGAGGAAGCATTACACAGAAACACTTCCTGCCAGTTAGCAACCGAGCTCGAGTTAGCCGTTATGGTTGCCAATTTAGTCAACCGCAAGTGGCAGTTGACTTTTGCTATGGCCACTGGCCAAAATTAAGTACTACATTGTTCGCCATATGCCACAAAGTAATGAAAACAAATATCTGGTTTTCCAAATTCTGTTTTTGTTATATCCATGCAATTCCGGTCCACTACCTTCAGGTTCACATCCGGTACCAGCCCCCAGAACCAGACGGATTATCTTCGGACCCAATATGGATCATCAGGTTTTTACGCAGTGATGAATTACTGAGTGTTTCCCATTTATCCGTCTTTCTAATCCATGTCCTTATTGTCAATTACTCCGCCATCACTTCTCCATCCTCTTTAGGACTCATATTATTGTTATGTCTGACAGGTCATCTGACGTATCCTTTTTTAGGATTACAATTAGGACTTAGCTATATAAGCCCCTTAAATATGCCATGTACTTCAGTTTGATAATTAACATTGCTTAGCTTTCCGTTTTGCACTGAGTCGTCCTCCGGTTACTCCCCCGGTCTTCCTCCCTTACTCAGTCTCTTTACTGGCCTCGGTAGTACACACACCCTACTGTCCTGTGGTGCTTGCGCTATCCTCCCATATACTTTCTGAAACTCCAATCTTCCGGTTCTGAAGATCTTTTGGAACCTTACTTTCTCCACCCCTCGGCCCAGTATATAACAGTTTTCCTGGACACTCACCATGCCAGCCCCCAAACCGTCTGCCCCTGGGCCTAGCGTGCTGCTCGGTATTCCAAGAGAGATCAACACTTGTATTAACCATCTGGCTACTCTTCTCAAACACTTGCCAATATCCATTCCACTGGATCCCCCAGACTCCAAATCAACATATCACTTTGGTCTTGATCCTGAAGATGTCAAACAGGAAGGGATGATCTACACATTTAATCGGAATCTGGAAGTTAGCTTTCAAACTCACAAACTTTATGATGGTACACTCATCTTCAAAGAGCATGTCAAGAGGCTAGTGGCACTAGAAAAATTAATCAAGAGAGTGGTCAAAGAAACAATGCTGCCAGATGCATGCTCACATCAAGTGCGCTGGATTGATCGGCTGATCACTGCCACGGTAGACTCAGGAGCTAAAATGCCTAATGTTGCTGAAATGTCACCACCAGATGAAATGGCATGGAAGAAGAAGCAGACTGGCAAGTGCAAAGGCGTCATACAGAAATGACACGAGCAGGTCAACTGGTACCATCCCTTCTTGTGGAACCAGATAAACGAGCTTGCGCTGCGAGTGGGCTGGTCTCCGGCCATGATCACACGCACTCTTCAATGGGAGAATCCTGTGCTGTATGGTCGGTTAAACAAGGGCACTGTGCACAAGTGGATCTCCAAAACTCACAAGCACTGGTCCAAAAGAACGATGAAGAATGTAGCCCGCCGTCATGCTCTGGCTTGGACTGGGAGAGTCGGGTTCCTTTCTCCCTACCCCGATCTCATCAGAGCAATCAAGGCCAAACTGATCGGCCTTCGTTCTGTTGGGATCTGTGTAGGTCAACTCTTGGCTTGCACAATCATCCTTGCTATGATCCAGGAGAAGTATCTGCAGCTTCTAGAGACATTCAAATGCAGTGAAACCTATGTCAGTGGCTTTTTGGAAAGTGTCATGAACTAGACTGTCTGACATGGAACACGTGCTGCAGCTCACCTACCCAACAATGTTACTGAGCTCTGTGAGAGAGTGTTCTTCCGAATCGTCCACTTAATTAATTTCTATGACATCCCCCCTTCACTTATCATCAACATGGATCAAACGGGAGTCATGCTCATGATTGCCAATAACAAGACTTATCACAAGAAAGGTGCATGTCAGGTTGACATTGCTTTGTGTCGCCAGCACCCCAACAGGAAACCTTCTACCTTTTCAACAGGTGTGGGCCAGAGCATCTGCTCGCTCTGTGCTGAGTTCCACTGTCCTGGGCATGAAGGAGGCCCAGAAACTCAGGTTTCATTTTGCCTATGCAAAAAGCAAGAAGAAAACAAGCCATTTTAGCACAGTGAAGACAATGAAGGAGTGGAGTGTAGTGCTTTTAGGGCCTTACATTCAGTCACAAATCCAAATCCTTGGTCTTGAGCCAGATCAAAAAGCAATTCTGTTTCTTGATGTCTACCCCATCCACATCGGTCTCGAGTTTTGCACTTACATTCATGAAGACTTCCCAAGGTTTTCCTTATCTTCGTTCCCACTACCTGCAAGATCATTCCCTGCCACCCGTTAATCACTCAGTTCTGAATCTTTGATAGGTATCAGGGTTTTTCAGCCAGCCGATGTCGGACTTCAATGTCCTTACACACTGTAATAGTTGTGCCCCAAAACTAGCACCACTACCAACTGGACCAAAAGGCCACTATGACAGAGTAATCTGTCATAGGTTCTGGGACTATATATACATGATTACACACATTTGCATGCATGTAACAGAAATGATTTTGAGGCCCCTCATTCATCTCAATTTCCTGTGTGTCTCATCCCCAGAGTGTGCCTTGGAGTGCTGCACTGGGAATCAAGTGGGTGATGCCTTCGAGGCACCCAACTTGCTGTTTGTTCTGCTTTTATGGAATTGGGTTGGCTGAGCCCTCTACGGATCTGAATGCCCTCCTGCAGACCACAATCATGTTCCCTATTCATGGCCACCTTGTCCAGATCCTGCAGCAGGAGCACCTTTAGGGCTGCATACTGTTGTGAGATCCATCTCGTCTCGCCTGTCAATTATGCACTTATGTATTCAATTCTCTTATAAAATACTTTGGTACCTGATATCTTTGATATCCATCTCCACAAAGTCTGTGCGACTACAGTTGTGGCAGCAGAGTGATTTGGTTATCCTGCCCCTCTCAACTCTTCAAGATGACACACTTGGATGACTGGCAAGACTCTTGCACAAACACTCCTGGAGGGTTACACAACATCAAGTAATGACTATGAGGCTGCTTGACACCTTGTTAAGAGCTGAGCCGAAGGGACTCAGAGACTCTGAAGGGAAGTCACTCAGAGGTGACTTGGAGGTCCGAGGTACTAGAATGGTTGTTCTTGCAGGCACTACTGAGAGTGTGCGACTACCCAGCTTGCGGACCGCAGCAAGACCAAAGTAGATTCGGGAGAGGACTCAGAGGTCACTCGGAGGTCTGACCCAGAGCGTAGAAGTAAGAACACAGTAACGTATGTGATATCCAAACTGACGAAAACTACATAGTTTATATACTTGTACTTCTAATTGTTAAAAGCATAACAATGGTAAAACAAAGGAGTGGGAATTCTTACTGAGTCAAATCCGCATAACAATAAGACCTTCTGGTAAGGTTCCGAGGCTGATGTCAGAATCCAAGAGTAATGCATCAAGACAATAAGGGAAACACTCAGAAGACCTTCATTGCGTAAAAACTAGGGCTGCCACCTGTGCCCGTGGCCACGGTTCGACGGCACCCGTGCAACGGTTGCCGTGCCTGTTCTGTCGAGAATTTTTCAGGGCTCAAGACGGCACGGTCACGGCACGGGTGGCCATCTTGACGGCCCGTTAAAACACGGCCATCACGCTGTGGAACAGGTCGGTATCAAACACATGGGAACAGCACAGATTTAGGCAGAAAGCATCCCAGGGATCCGGCTGCACCTAATGGAGATCTTTTGCTGCCTGACCTACCATTTTCTACCTGGCCAAAATACCAATTCGCATGTAGTCGGTGAATGCCGAATTTGATGGTATGATTCGATCTTGCTCAACATTGCTTTGATCTTCGCAAGTTGCTTTGCTCCCCCACTCATTCACCCTGTTTATGAGAACCAGTAGGCCTGGGATGCTTGAAAAGACATTCTGGATCACTTGGCAAGATGAGTATTGCTTTGTCAATGGATGAATATATCACAAATTCACCACTTCAGACCATGCAACGGCTCAGGCGCTCGATATAGTTACCCCACATCCGAATATGTCCAAAAGAACACAATTTAATGAAGAAACACTGTTGAAATCTTCCAGACATAGCCATGGACTCGTCACGGCCATGCGCACGGTCGACTGTCCCGTCCTGTCAGACAATTGTTCAAGCACTCAACGGGCCATGCCCGTTGACCACCTGTTAAATCGACGGCTGTTGCCGTCACGGGCACGGGCAGCAGCCCTAGTAAAAACCCTTTGTCATCTTCAGAGCCTCTGAGGGGTCTCGGAGCTCCGAAGGGGTTCTGAATGTCAAACTCAGCATGGATATAACACACCTTGTCTGTGCAGCTTGACTGAGCACTGTATGTTGCAACTATGGAGCCAAGACACCTTTGTCTCACTGTTAGCTGATGCGGTCAGGACAGTACTTGGGAAACACCCACCTTTCATTCTTGCATGTACTGCACATGATGAATTTGTGTGGGGCAAGCACAGCTTGGGCTGCTGTGGCATGAAGGGAACCAAGTACTGGATTTTTTTATTCAATTCTACAGCCATGTGTCATACCAAAAAAATTTGACCCCCCCCTCGCCAATTTTTTTTTCTGAATTTATCCGATTTTCTGGAAGTCAAACGTCACGTGGTTGTTGAATTGAGTGAAAAAAATTCCAGTACAATGGCGGTGCGGACATCCTTTTCAAGTGTAATCAGCGCCTAAGTAAATAACTGCCCAGCACACAGTGGTTGGGCCGTGTCGTGCAAAAGCTCGTGGAGGAAACTGGACAAATACCTAGCAAAACATTAGGCGAAGAGAAAAAAATTCCCATACGGGGAGTCGAACCCCGGGCTACCGCGCACAATGATCAGTTAATTGAAAGGCGGTAATGTTAAACCGCTACACCATATGGGATTGGTTAGGTGGTCGAGCCTATTGACTGCTATCATACTACTACACCCGAATCAGTAGACGTAGCATTGGGCCTTAAAAAGCGCGCTGGCGGTCACTGTCCTTGCTGCGTCAAGATACGCTGCGCACGGTCCTTGTTCTAAGGACACGTGCTTCATCTGCACAAACATGTAGCAAAGGGCTCACACCAGGCAGCAGTCCGATGGTCATCCGCGAGGATGCCCAGGTCGGGATGTGCGCGCAGGAGGTCATTGACGACATCCTCCTCGACTACGCAGCACACGATGCCTGTCGAATTGACGATAGGGTCCTGTATGAGCTATCGGGCAGGAGCAAGAAGAAACCAGGGAAAGGTTTCCTTCTGCAGGTGATATTACGACGTAGACTTCGAAGACGGTCACTCCACCGCGGGTCCGACCTATCGATGAGCGGCAAGCGGGCCAGCGTCAGAACGGATGTCCTCAGAGTATCATAGGAATGGAGGCGTCAGAGTGGCACAGTACAAGGACAAGGGGGGAAGTGTGGCGCACCTTGTCCGTCAGTTGCCGACGCAACGCGTCCACAAAAACTAGCCCGCCCCCAGGCGACTGTATCGGGGAAACGTGCCGTGTGGGCAACTCGCCCATCTCTGCTGGCGGAGGGTTTGGGTGTGGAGGAGAACTTGGGGGTAGGCGGCAGCACGCGCGCGTAAGGATCGCTCGTGGACGTGCATAACAGTTTATAAAGGGTGCCGATTTTCGACTTGGCCTTCAAGCTGGTGGTGGTGAGCCAGGTGGATGGAAAGGAGGCGTTGGGACACACTTTCAAGCTCCGAGCACATGCACTCCCTGTGCGACGGGAAGAACGATCAATGCGAGCGATTCCCTTTCAGCACAGATACGTAGCCTGACGATAGAGGGGAGACGGCCTGCTGCTCTGAGAACGAGCGTACATTTGTAACGGCCAGATTCTCGGGGTCAAGTCCACGTTCATTGTTGAGGATCCCCCCAGGATCGATATCGAGAGTGGCGGAAGCACCGCGCCGAAAGGATACAGATCAGACCTGATCAGACCGGGAACAGAATATTACGCTGATGACAAGTGAAGAAAGCGAGACGCACCTAAGTACATGTCAGCCCAATGCGGTTGCCCGTGCTATTTACCTTGCAGGCGCGTGGCGTAGGTGCTTGCCTTGAACGGGCAAGCCAAAGACAGGAGACTTGGCTATCATCTCGGTACACAGGACGGAAAACCCTTGATGGATAGGAATGCCGCCCGGATCTTGGGCGACGTGTCCACCGTCCGGACGTCAACGATCCTTGTGCGAGGTGCGACGCATACATGACCGAGCAGTTCGGTTGCTGACGCCTAGCTCTGGCCATGATCCGATGGCCCTTATAGATGAGGATACAGTATACTGAGTAGAGGGCGTTGAGGGTCTCTTTTGTTCGGTATGATGAGGAAGTCGACTAGTCGTCATTGAAACGAGAAATTCGTGATCGTCTAAGCAAACTGCTGGTGGAATATATGACCGGCTGAACGAGTATTAAGGCAGATTCCCGGATGAGCTTCTCGGTGGCCAGGTCGAAGCATAGAAAGTCGTCACAATTCAGTCAGAGACGATGAAAGCCGAAAGGGGCCCACCAAAAAGACATGCCTTGACACTTCATAATGTACACAAGTTCGGCATCCCTTGGATCGAGCCTGCGCAAAAGGTTCTGAGCGCTGAGCGCTGAGCTCCGAGCATCTGAGGCCAAAAAGCGCTTAAACCTTTGTTGAGTGCAGAGTTTTGACAGAGTTGAGTAGTCTGTGCTGCTAGTAGTAGCACTACCACTGGCACTGAGTAACATAGGCAGTCAGATTTTGGAAAAATCTGCATTCAGCAAGCTATATATATGAGGGAAACCGAAATGGCAGGGAAGAACTTTTGCGACAAGAAAATCGATGAAAGACAAGGAGTTGGGTACAATTTCATAGATGTGGCTTGATTTCTTCCAAGAAGGAATGGATGGGTATAACTAGTGTAGGATACAACAATTAGCGATAAATACCGTTAGCTCTAACTGTAACCAAAAATGGCGCCGAACAATTCCTTCCACCCTCTCTTCACCACGACACTTGCTCCGCCACCGTACTCAGACGCCAGCCACTCCAGATACTTGGCATCCATCCCACTCAGCGGACCGAGCTCAAAAGCCGTCATGTCCTTCGACGTGAACGTGATGACCTTGCCCGCCGCACTGCCCTTAGGTAGGAAAGGCTCTAGCGTCGACAACTGGAAGGCCGTGTGCGCATGCAGGGTCTGCAAGAGCGACAGTGTCGTGAGGATCTGCCCGTCCCGCCGCGCCGTATCGTACGTGTTGGCGTCGTCTTCCGCTGCCGTTGGCGATGCGACGTCTTCGCCTTCGGTGCCACCGCCGGGAGAGGCCACCGCAAAGTTGTTCACGGTCGCCTTGCCGCTCGACCACGACATGCCGCTCGAGCGCCTCGTCGTCTTGCTTGTTGTCGGCCTCAGTCCGCTGCCGCTCGACCCCGCCTTGGGGCCGCCTTCGATCCCCATCCCCACACTACGAACATAGCCACCGGAGCCGGACCCAGTGTCGACGCCGAGCGCACGGAGGCTAAGGTCCTCGTCACCTTCCAGGCGCACGCTGCCCCAGTTGGCCGCACCATCCGCGGTCGAGTACGACATGGTCGAGTTGCCCCGCCACGATCCCATCCACAGCCCGGCGCAGATGACGCACACGTCCTCATACACTCGCCAAGCGTCCGTCCAGGCAGTGATCGGTATGGACGCAGACTTTGGGTCCTGCGAGCGGGACCCAAGGGAGCAGCAGGAGTGGTCATGGGCCGAGGAAGAGTCCAGCTGCAGGATGCGATTGAGTTCGTTCCACTGTGGGCGCTGATGAGCTTGAGCAGCAGGAGTTTACGATGCGGCTTACCAGCTTGACGTCGCTCCATGAAAAGCGTACCACAGACAGCCGATGCGTTGGGCCCCGTGGTCTTGACGGGCCCGCGGAGGGTGGCTGCAAAGGTTTCGAGGAATAGAATGTCGGTCGTGTAGCCTTATTCGGCGTGGAGGTGGTTAGATCTATTAGTAAATCGTAGCATGATGGTTTCTCCAAGAAGATGGCATCGGACGTGCCTATAGAGTTGTGAGCAAAGGAAAAAAGTTAGATTGGAATGGTAGAAACGTACAGGCCACCCACCCTCGGCCGCTTTCGCCCTCTGTCTGCAGCCTATCCATGTCATTCAACGTCACCATCCCAAGCACGCTGATGCCCTCTTTCCATTTGCCCCGAAGACGCGAAGATGGCGATCCCGGGGAGGTCGTGTACTCTACCTGATGCTCGTAGCACATGTCAGCGGCCACCTGGCAAAGGATTGACGCGGGCTCGACAGGGGGCAGGGTATAGATGAGGATTCGTCTTCGACCGACAACATGCTTGTACAGCGTCAACGAAGAAGGACCGAGGATCCGCAGGAGGTGAGGAAGGTGCAACGTGGGGTTTTGCTCCGTGCGGTCGTCATCCAGCTGGTAAAGAATGGTTTAGCGCACCGCAAGGCAAGATGCGTATGTAAACTCACTCGCTCCAGAAGCTCGTGGCTCCATCCATTCCAGTCTCCTGCACCCCCGAGGTCCGCCCTCGCAACTTTGCGTTCACTAAAGAATGCGCGCGCGGGATCCCAGTCGCTTTCGGTGGGAACAAGCGAGCCTGAACTCTCGAATCGGGAGTAGATCAGACTCGTGAGTTCTTTGAGGGCGGCAGTGTGCCTCCAAGGTCGCGGACGCGTTGATTTAGCCAGGAGGAGGCCAAGAGAGGAGAGGCGAAATCCTCGATGTCCCTGGTCGACTGTCTTCCGGCGGCGGAATACGCAAACACCGTGCTGATCGTCCTTCGTGAAATACCTGATAGGATAGTTAGTGTTTTGACAAGTGTATGTGAAGTGAATAGCTCCGAGAAACAAGCTCAATCACGCCTGAGAAGGAGAAGATGGATGTCAAGTCCGGCGGTAGAGCACCGAAGTAAACGGGATAGCACTAGACATGTCTCACACAACAAAACGGAATCCAGTGTCAACACACACAGGAGTTCGCAGGCGCTTCTGCGGGTCCAAAATGCACCCCGTTGCGCAGTGGGAGCAGAGGGTAGGCCAAAAAACTCACACGACATCTTGTTCGACTAGATGCAGTCCACTAGGAAGGGCGCTGAACTCCAGATTATCGAGATTTAGGTCTAATATCGTCAGGTCAAGCCCTGAGACACGTGGGCGGGGCTTCCGCTCACCATCGTGCGCCTTCAACGACCAGTCAATTATGTTTCCTTGTGTAGGATGAAATGATGCATGAAAGATGGCAACTGTAGACCAAGCAGTGAGAAACAAAATTAGAGAACAGATTGACATGTACCTATATCTTGAGGATATCGTCCTTTGGAGTCCAGGGAGGACATGGGAGAAATGAAGGTTGTGGAGCAGAGGTAAGTGAAATAACCGAGTCACACCGGCAGTCACGCACTGTGACCCACCCTCCGCCCATGTCGCAGCCACAACAAGTCAGTGTAACGGATTTGGACATCTCCCAGCTTGCCGACGTTCGCAGGCAACTTGAAGAGGTGAAGATTTGGAAGACCCGGAGCATATTCACGGCCTCTGATCGAGTTAATCAACGCAGGAGCTGAATCACCTTACCAACTCCTTCGCCCAGCTCAAGCAAGCGCAAGCAAAATTCAAGGCTTGCATCGAGAATGTGGCGGAAGTAAAGCCGGCGAACAAAGGTACCATCGCGCTTCCACGATCCGAGTGTGTTTGACGATTCGGCTAGGCAAAACGATCCTTGTACCATTAACGAACTCTCTCTACGTTCCGGGGAAGCTGTCTGACCCAGATCATGTCATCGTCGACGTCGGCACAGGATATTTTGTACAAAAGGTAGCGATCTGCCTTTTCCCGATCCATTTTCTGACTTTCCGTCCTAGACGCGAGAACAGGCTCTAAAGCACTACTCTTCGAAAGTAGAGTAC